AGACAGGAATTTTATAGAGTTGAAAACAGATTGAAACTATATTACACCTTTTCTTTCTTCTGTCGTATGCTTTTGTGTATGTGTGTATGTGCTTGTGTGTGTGCACACTCATGTGTACTTGCATGTGCAGTGTTAGAGACTGAATCCAGAGCCTTGCACATGGAAGGAAAGTGCTGTGCTACTGACCTCCACCTCTAGCCCAAGGTTGCATTTTTCTAATACACCTTGTAAAGTGGGGAAAAAAGACAAAGAGTAGAATTGAGAGAGACAAATAGAGTAGAATTAATTGTTTGGGTGTGGACTCTCATTTAAGAGATGTTTATTGGGCTAGACACCAATCCATGAGTATAGCAGAGTATCATTAGGCATCAGTACATTGACATTATTTTTTTCTCCAGTCATGTTTGGTTCTGTCCTAGGTCTTTGGTTCATCCAGCCTGTGGGTCCGGGTGCTCTAGGGAGTGTCAGGGGTGGGCTCACTTTTGTGGCATGGCTCTTAGGCTAGACCAGTCATTAAGAGGCTTCATCCAGCAACTGATGGAAACAGAGACAGAGACCCTCAGCCAAACATTAGGCTGAGCTCAGAGAATCCTGCTGAAGAGAGGGGTGAAGCCAGAGGGGTCAAGGACATCACAAGAAACTTCACAGAATCAACCTGGGCTCATAGGGGCTCTTAGAGTCAGAATCGGCAACCAGGGAGCCTACATGGGACTGATGTCTCTCTGCTTATATGTGACAGTTGTGTAGCTTGGTCTTCTTGTGAATCTCCTAACAGTGGGAGCAGGGCCTGTCTCTGACTCTTTGGCTGACTTTTGGGACCCTGTTTCTCACACTGGGTCGCCTTGCCTAGCTTTAATACAAGGGGAGGTGCTAAATCTTCCTGCGACTTGATATCCACGGGAGGCTTGCCCTTTTCTGCACAGAAATGGAGAAGCAGTAGATTGGGGGGCGCATAGAGGAGTGTGGGGAGAGAGTGGGGCTGGGAGGAGAGGAGGGAGGTGAAACTGCAGTCAGGATGTAAAATAAATTAATAAATCAATTAATAAAAATACTTGCTTCGGACAAAAATGAGAAACAAGACTGAAAAAACAGTGATTCTCAGGATAACATATAGAATGTGCTTAAAAAAGAGACATGTATTCTGCAACTGCTATGTATACTGTGGTACTTAAGCCACGGCAAGAATGCAAATATTAATCACATGCGTATTTCCTTGTGGAGATTAAGGAAGCACCTACATAAGAGAACTGTAAGGTAGGAATGGATCATAGAGCCTTCACAACTCAACTCAAAGAACCGCAGAGAAATGTATTTCAGGATGGGGATGGACAAAAGCTTTGAATCAACAGAGCAAGTGGTATATATGAGACTCTATTGATATTCTATATGAAATGTTAGAAGAAGGTTTTGGGGGAGTAGTTTGGAGTGGTTGATGAGGATCAGATTGTGAGGGGAATGTGGGAGCCCATTTTCAGGTTCCTTGTGGCTTTACTCAGCAGATCTGCAGAGAGAGGATGATTTGGACCACGGGCCTGAGTGCAGGTGTCTGAGATGGTCTGCACTTGGCTGTGCTGGGGGAGGAGGTCTTTTGCTCCACCCCTTGGTGTCTCTATAAATACCCTGGGGCAGAGACACTCAGGGCTCCCTGGAATAGGTTCCAGGCCCTCTTGAGGCTATCCTTTATTTTCTATCTCTTCATCTCCACAATTGAAATCCTTTTATTTAATATTTCCTGCTGTTCGCACTCAAGAAAACTCTGGGGAGCTGTGGGGTTGGTGGGTAAACGCCCCACAGGGGAAGGCAAAGGTTATGCTTGAATCATTGCTTGTAGATCCTGGCTATAAAATTGGAATGTTGAGTAAATATCCAAGACAAAGAACACTCAGTGGCCAAGCTGGGACATGCTTTCACAGCGAAGGGAAACCATTTCAAGGTTTTATAGAGAAGTGGCTCCGGGAGGCCTTCCATGCAGTTATAAGTGTGAGAGCATTAACAGGGCGTGGTTGTCAGAAGAGAAGTCAGAAGGCTGTCACTTGTTAAAAGAAGCAATAAGAATTGGACTGAGGTAGATTGGTAGTGGGAAAGAGGAACAGAGTGGTGTAAGAATTATTGCATAGGTAGGATCCATAAACTCTATCGGCAGAGTCTAAAAGCTGGTGCAAGTAGTATCGGAACTGAAGTTGTGGCTGTGGTGTTTAGCTCCGATGGCTTGGGAGATGGCTTGTGTCTTGAACGTGGTGCTTGGGAGGAGAGTCAGATGTGGAGACAAGGTAAGGTGAGTTTTTTTTCAGATTAGATGCTACTAGTATGACAAGTAGCAATTCATGCCAGATTCTCATGGTAGAAGAGTTTGTGTTGGAGCTAATGTAGTGTGAATCACCTGTGAAGTGTAGCTGTAGATAGCAAGTAGGTGACACTTGAGGTGGCGCATGTTTTCCCTGTCAGTAGAGGTGGGATGATTTATCAGAGGAGGTATTAGGGACTTCGGTGTTTTGTTTTTGTTGCTACCTTTTAATTAATTCATTAACTTAAAAATTTCTAGACAGAATTTTGCCGCGTACCTGGCCTTGAATCCCTCAACCTGCTGCATTAGCCCAGCATTGCTGAAATGACAGTTGTGTGCCATTTTCCCCTTAGGGACTTCAGGCTGGGTAAATCTAACGGCAGGAAGAATGGTTAATTAGCTATAATGAATGATCGTAGGAAGTCAAAGAAGATGGGGCTGAGTCCTAGGTGGTGGCACATGCCTGTGGTCCCTGTACTTTGGAAGTGGATGTAGGAAGATCAGGAGTTCAAAAGGCCAGTCTTGGCTAACCAGTGAGTTCAGTTAAGTGTTGCCTGGGCTAGGGAACCTTTTCTGAAGAAGCACAAAATGAAAGATCTTTAAAATTTGGTGTCTTGGTTACTTATCTATTGCGGTGAGAAGACAAACACAACTTATAAAAGAAATCATTTAATTTGGGGATCACAGTCATCAAGGCTGGAAATATGGTAGCTGGCAGGCAGTCATGGCTCTGGAGCTGTAGCCAAGAGCTCATGTTTTGATATACAAGCACAAGGCAGAGAGAGATAACCGGGAGTGATTTGGGCTTCTGAAACCTCAGCACCCTCCCCAGTGACACACCTCCTCCAACAAGGCCACACCCACTAACCCTTCCCAAAGAGTTCCACCAGCTGGGCGACCAAGTATTCAAATACATGAGCCTATGGAGGCCATTGCTCCCCTCCCCCCACCACAAGGGAGTAGTGGTGAAAAGGAGGAGGAAGTTGAGGAAGCACCGTGTTGGTTGGCTGTGACAGCTTTGTAAAATATAAGAGATTTCAGTGTCTGGAATATTGCACATAAGTCTTTGTTACAGCGACCACTTACAAGATGAATTCTGTTAAGAACTAAGGATTATCTCTTTAATTGACTGCTACTTAGCATAATACTGCTTGTCTCATCAACTGTAACAGAATGTTCAAGTAATTGCTCACTCACCATTTGTCACAGCTGTTATGGAACTTGCTACTGAATTGCAGATAAGAATGGGGATCAGTGAATTATCTTTCTGGGTTTCTTCTTAAGTAGGCTGTTGTAGGTGAAAAGTAGTTACTTCATATTTTTTTTTTTTTGTTTGTTTTGTTTTTTCTTTTTTTTTCTTTTTTTTTTTTT